CCACCTGTGTATTTTTCCTGGATGACGCAATCACGTTAAGTGTTACAGCCAATCGTCGAAACTTGGTACCGAAAGACGAGGCATGTTTCGATACTCGGTAGAACCGAAGCATTTCGGTCGGTACCATAAAAGAACCGAAGTTCGGTACCCAGCCCTACTTGGGGGTCCTTTGCAGTATCTTAGCTCTTCCTGCTAATACACTCCTCTGGACAGAGATGCTTGATGTTTCTCCAGGCATCTGTTGGATCAGTGTGAGAATCACTGACTCACTATTCAATGGCTACAGGTACTACAGTTGCCTTTACCTTCTTTCTTGAACCCTTGGTGTTTCTCCAGTATCTCATGTTCTTGTTGTTTTTATCATTTTGTATTGCCATAACAATCGTAAACACTGTCTCCTGCTGCTTATCAATTATCACAATGCCCACTTGGTTGGCATTTACCAATTTTTCTGTTTGAATCTGGAGGTCTCCCCATGATTTATTCTCCACCACCTTGAAAGGTGGCCTCGATTTTGATCTGGCGGTCTCCATTTTGCACATATGTTTCTGTACACTGATTAGTCCTCATTTCTGGCTCTCAAGGCCTACTCCTGTGCTGCCTTTATCAGTAGTTCTGTGCTGTCCTTTAGTTTGGCCATGGATTTGCTTATATCAGCAATTCAATTTTCTGCCAGTTAATTTCTTCCATTCGACAGGTTTTCCTCAGAGAATGGTTCCTTTAGCTTCTTCTCTTTCAGTTTCCACTGTGCGAGACATTTACCGTGGGCTTCCTCCCTAAGAATCATCTTCCGGATATATTCCTGATGCTTACATGTAGACTGTGACGATATGTGATCACTGGCTCAACATAGCTGTTGATTGCTTGAACCTCATTCTCGCCCTTTAGCTGATCTTTAAGTACTTTTCTTATTCATTGCAGATATTTTCCTTGTGTTCTCTTTGTGGCTACAATTTGCCTGTGGTAATCCAATATATTTTTTCCCTGCTGGAGATCATTGTTGTGTGGATCAGCAAATCAATGTCTTGCTTGTGAAAACACTAAAGAAGCTGCAGACCAGTGTTAAATTCGTCAGCTTTTTTAAATCTAGTCTTATTCTTGGTCCCAATGACAAAGATCTATTTTAGTCTTAGTCATATTTAGTCATTGCCTTCCAATTTAGTCTTAGTCTTAGTCTAAATGATGAAAATCTATTTTAGTCTTAGTCAAATTTTACTCATTTTAGTCAACACTGTAAATAATAGAACTTCTCCACACACTGCTTCTCTTTTTCTCTATTTTATTTATATGACACTGTGCAGAATAGAACTTCACACACTTATTCTCTTTTTAGCATATATCACACTGTACACATCGAACCTTTTGTCGGCTTGTTTCATTATATCCACAAAGTCTTCATCCTCCAACAGACTTCCCATCCTTCCCCAACCTCTGATTTGGCTGTGGTGTCACTGTGTCAGGTCTAGTTGGGAGGAAGAAATTTAAACGATAAATATCCAGTGTATCAGTAGAACATCTTTCTTCTATGACAGAGAGACAGACAGATACAGGCACAGGAAGGCACACACACACATACATCCACATGCATGCGCACCTGCGCACACACACCCATTCCTACTTCTACAGGCCCACCCATTCCTTACGTTCTTCCATATGACAGCATGTTGGCACCTCAAATGTTACTTGAGATCCGTTGTGTTCTTCCCTGCCATTTTGAAGCTGCAGACTCTTTGGAAGTCGTCATTCCTCTGGTATTGTCCTTCACCTTTTACACGAAATGGCTCCATACACCCAGGCGGTGTTTTCACCCAGCTCCTCAAACAAACCGTACACAGGTGTCCAAACCAGACGCCATGACTGCGTAGTTGAACTAGCCACGGTTAACTACTACCAGTGACCAGTATAAGCCCTCTGCTACTACTGTCTGAGCGGCGCGAGGCACTGTGGGACAGGCACTGTGTAGGGAAAAACAAGGCAACAACGCATAATCTTCTATGAAGCTCAAGAAACACTTATATTAAATATTACAAATTAAATTAAGTCCTTGAAAATAAGGAGACCGGAAGAGTTTTGGCTGTAAATTCGACCAGGTCTACCCTTCGGCGGGTTTTACCGCCGTATGCTCTGTTGCTTAGCAACCGTGAACGACACACAAAGCAGGAAAAGAATGAATACAGAAGTTTTCAGAACTGTTTATTTATTTCTTTTTTATTGTGAAGTGAACAAAGACTACAATCACAAGAATCCAGAGTTGAATAAAGGTTCCAACCACCGGGAGCAGGAACAAATAAAATCAAATGTAATGATAGAAATCTTAGTCAGTTAAATAAAATGCTGCTGTCATTTTGCACATCTCTGATGCTGCTGCTATTTTCTAATATCCATTACTGTAAAAATGTCCATAGCTGCATATTGGTTATTTATTCCCCAGTTTTATATTGTTAAAACACTTTACAGTATTTTATTGTTTATATTTTAACTCTTCCCTATTATGTTATTCTTATACATTTTTCTAAGGTCCACATTTGTGTGACCATTTTCAATAATCTTTCTGCTGCTGTAAATTTTTCCATTGTGGGAAAATAAAGGGATTTTCTATTCTATTCTATAAAAGGGGTAGAAAGATATAAGTAAATCTAAACAATATATTTATAAAAAATATATCTGCAAAATCTCTAATATTCAACAACAAAAAATACGAAATTAAGCATATTGTGCAAAACAGCAATAAAAAGATAAAAATCCTATCAGATTTATAGTCCCCACCCTGCAAATATATTAGAATCTGTCCTTAAATTACAGCCAAACCCATTTACACAGTAACAGATAAAAACCTTTAGATAAATCAAACATTACCGCCACATATCTGACTCAGTAACCATTAAAACAACCATTTTCATTAATCTCAGACGGAACTATTAAATGACTTGTATTATATTAAACTGAACTTCCAATTTTCACCACTGTTCGGCGCCAAGTAACCTTTACTCTGATCACAGCTTGCTTGGTCTCGCAATGAACCCTGGGATATCCAAGAATACCGAGGATACATCGGACCCGTCCTTCAAATCGGGCAAAAAGAAGGACGCATTTTAAGGCCGCATAACGAGGACTCTTGGAATCCGACCAGACCTCGGCGCCGCGCTATGACGTAATCGGTCTTCAAATCCGGTCTTCTAAAGATGCGTCCTAGGTTTTCGAACAGAGCCATAGGCCAGTATCGGGTATTGCAGGCCAACAAAGACCTCAAACCCCATTACTAAGGGGTTGACCTGTTCTTTCGGTTCAATTTACATGTTTTCTAAGCTATAACAGGGCTTTTGTTGGGCTAGTGTGTAAAGTTTGGAACCTAATGCCAATCCATACATTTTAAATTAAAATAGCTTCCTGGATGGGAAGCGAAACCTCTTCAAACTTGGAAAACAAAGTCCAGTGTTTTGCTTTTTTTTACTTTTTTGGAATGACTAGGACCTGGATGACTGAGAATCTTCACCAGCAATACATACTGTGAGTATGTATCTCTGCAAGCCATAGGAGTCTCCTGTGTAATAAGAGATAAATAACTTTTTTATTAATGGAATAATGTATCTATAGACTAATAGAATTCAGAATCAGCAGTGAGTGAATGTATAGCAGATGATTTTTCCAGAAATGTAGGTTAGAAACACCCAAGTCACTTTTTAAGTGAATACACATGTGCAAGAATGTCCTACTTGCTCCCTGCCATTGTGTGAGACAATCTCCCTGATATACAGTACTCTGCACTTTTTTCCTTCTCCTGAGGCTTTTCTCTACTCGACAGTTTGTTTCTTTTGACTCTACCATTTTTAAAGTAAATATTGTCAGAGCAGTGTTACTACGAGTGGCTAAAGCTGAAGCTCCTTGCATAGACAAACAGTAGAAGTGTGCATGCATAGTAGCATTAGGTGAGCACCTCACAAAGACGGTACGTGGGACAACCAATAGATAAGACATCCCCAAAACCAACCCCTCACTCCCACTCCCCTAGAACTTCAAAGAAAGAAGATCGTCCACTATACCTTAATTGAGACAGCATAGATAATATGCACACATGTTTATTAGCAAGGGATTTAGGGAAATCTAGTATGTCTATAGGGATTTATTTGACAAAAAAGGGATGTTCTGCATATTAATTTTCCTATTGCAAACTGGCTAATCTGGGTACTGTGTCACCACCAGCTATTGCCTGGGGAGCCTTGTCCTTTCTGTGTTACATTTAAAGAAAGTTTGTGATTAATACTATTTCCAAGCAAAAAGTACTTTCTTTCGAGAAGTGTAGTAAGAGACTGTAGACATGAAAGAAAAGGAGTTGCTTTGCACTCTCCTGTCTGTGCGGAGGCCACCTCGAGTCAGGGCATTTGCTTTGATAGACATTCGAGGATAGAGTACAGCCTAATCTTCCCACAACAATTAGTGTGTATAATGCTATTTTTACTATCAATTTGAAATCAAGCATTATGTATTCAGGTTTTATTGAACTTCTTTTTACTCACATATGACACATGTCAAATCCGGATTTGAAAATGATCAAATGAAAACCATATATCCTTTTATTTTTCTTATAGTTAATATGCTACTTTGTGTTGCTCTCTTACATGATAACCTTTGAACATTTGTGAATATGGGGAAAAGTTTAGTAATTCGTGAAACGCTTGGAAACAACTTATTTAACAGACCTTGTAGCCTGTTGGCTTGAGGCCTTTATCAGGGTTTCAATTCAAGGCCACAGGCTGAAAAGTATTTGTCTGTTATATAAGCTAACTAATAAGTATTGCTTATAATACTTATAATCCTTCATCATTTTTATGCACCTTGCAAGTTGGTGAAGATGTGCTAGAAACATCTCTGAAGAACCAAAAACACATAAAATCCTCTTCTAATTCCAAGTCACATAAGCAATGGTGATGTTGACTTTGGTCCAAGACGTAACATAAAGAATAACCTCAGTACCATTTAATCTTCTCTGTTTCCTTTTGCAGCGCTCATTCTGTAGTGCCATGATGGATGAGCTGCGCGTCTCTCTGAAGTGCCAACGTCGTCTCAAACAAAAGCCTCAGCCACCCGCCATTGTCAAGACAGAAGAGGTCATTAACATGCACACGTTCAATGACAGGAGACTCCCAGGGAAGGAAACCATGGCATGAAAACTGACAACACTCCCTTCAATAAAAATCACTGAGGGGATACAGGGGTCAAATTAACAGAGACTTCACGACGGGCCGAGGCTAGAAGTAACAACAGGATTCCTTTTAAACCAACATGTTATGTAGACAGATGTTTCCTGTGGAAATACAGATACCTGAGCAGTGTCACCTCACTGTGACAATAACTTTTCAAAGGGGCCGGACTGTGGACTCTCCCCTTGGCTAGGTGGGTAAAGTGTGTAAACTTGAAAGCAGATCATAGTAGTTTGGACAAGAAAATATTTGCTGGTTCACACCAGAAGTGGATTTAAACACAATCACACATGTATACACAGACACTCATATTGTCCGTCCACACTCTTTACTGCTGTGTATAAGGGAAGACAGTTTGAACAGTGAATTCAGTTGTAGTTTTCTGTTGATGTCAATGCCCTTTCTCTTACCTCCATGTCTGTGGCCCCCTCCTCCAGTGGCTTAAGTTTATTCTAAATCATTAAATCAAAAACTAATTTCACACCAAAAAAAAAATGAAAAATATCAGCACTATCTGGTTTATTATGAACTGATGTATAAAGGTGATAATTAGTTTGGATTCATCTATGCCGATCTTGTCAAATACTGTCATTCTCTTCTATATGTGCCAAAGTTTTGCCATTGTGAAGAACTTCCTACCATGCCTCTTTTTGTTTGAGCTTCTAGAGGCAATGTAATCTGTCAAGCTCCTTACTCATGTCCGCCCTTGAACACTGTCAGCGGTCTTCACTCTGTATTGGTCATTGTTTAAAAGTTGGGATTTCTACAAAAGTGTTTTGTTTTTGTACAAGAACAACAAAGTTTTGTAGTACTTTGTATCATACAGTAGCCCCTCCTGTGGACAAAATATGTAGCAGATACCAACTCAGCCCCCAGACTCCTGACAACAAAGCTTCAGGCTCTGCTGTGTGGAGTCCATCGCTATCATCAATACGAGATTCAGGTTTTAGTCTGCCAGTCTCACAGGAGCCAGCGGTGCATACTGTTTTGGGACAATGCACTGGATTTTGGTAAAAAGCAATAGAATTGTAAATGAACAGATGCTCAAGTAAGGTAAAGACAATGACTCATGCTGAGAAATTAAGCTGTTGTCCTATCAATAATACACATATTATTTTGGAAGTTTGTTGTACTATTAATTAGATTTCTTGAGAGTAAGTCCTGAAAGTTTTATTTTTTAAACTAGTGATGCCCATTAGTTTCACATATCATTTCAGAAATGTAAACATAAAAAGTTCAGTAATTAAAAAACAAAATACATGGACGTAGAAAAAAAGTGAGAACACGTTATATGCCTTTTATTAATGACTTTTTGGCTCAATTGTGGTGTATATACTGCAAAACTTAGTTCTAAACAGGTCTCGTTTAGAACTTACATATTATTATATTATATCATATTATATTATATTATATTATATTATATTATATTATATTATATTATATTATATTATATTATATTATATTATATTATATTATATTATATTATATTATATTATATTATATTATATTATATTATATTATATTATATTATATTATATTATATTATATTATGGCTTACATCTAATCCACAGATAAGCTTCTCATAAAAATTGAATGTTACACAAATTCTATCAAAATCAAAAAACCTTTTTTATCATGTAAGGAGCATCTTGCTAAAAGGTATGTCTGTACGGAACAGTTTCCTAACTCAATGCCTGGTCTGGCTCCTTTTGCAAAATAAACTGTATTAGTGCGGTCTGGCATGGAGTAGATCAGGCTGTGAATCTGTTGAAAGGTTATGAAAGATCACATTGTTGAAGTACAGTAATGTTAACCAGCATTCCTTGTTGTTGGCTCTTATGTCTCATCTTGATCTTTGTAATACGGGATAGATTCTCTGTGGGGTTTAGTTCAAGTGAGTTTGCTGCCTAATTAGCATATTGATATTATTCACTGGTATTATTATTTTTTTGTTTGTTTGTTTCTTCAGGTACAAAGTCCTTATTGAAAGTAAAATCAGTTTCTTCTTTAACCAGAGGGAATCATGAATCCCCAGAAGTATCCCTGGTAGAAGTCTGCTGCAAGTTTGGACTATAGTATAAAACACAGTGACCAATACGAACAGATGCCATGGGCAGTCACATCAAACATGACTGTGAACGACACACAAGACCTCAAACAAATTGGATTTTCTGCCTGTCCATTCTGCATCCATATTATAAAGCCTTGATTTGAAAGCAAAACCCAAAATTTTAAGGACTGATTTCAGATGAGAAGTACAACAGCTGTAGTCCATATTGTGGAGGAGTCTGTGTCTGATGGCCCATGAAGTACTGACTTCAGCCACATTACATATTTCATATCCGTTTCCAGACTGCGGTATGATACAGTGCACTTTAAACAATCAGTTTCTTTAGCTATTCCCTCTGTTAGCCTACCCTTCCTGCTAAGAATGTCACTAGGTGATAGAAAACTAGCAATCTTGTAGCACTTAACATACCCATAAGATTTCTCTATTTCAATTTTTTTTCATTGGTCTTAAGTTACTTTAATTATCTTTTTTCTATTCAATGCTGAAAAGCTTATTAGCTGTAAGCCATTATCACAAAATTACCAGAAACAAACACTTAAAATGTATTGGTCCCTATGCAATGAATGCATAAGGTATGAGAATCGTTTTATTGATATGTTTTGGCTCTTTTTCTTTTATGGTTTGTTGAGGTTCATCTGTAAATGACCTCAAAGGTGGGCCATAATGATAGATATGGGGGGAGTGTATGAGTTTTAAAAACAATGCAGCTGCAGTAAATCTGATAGTGGAATAATCAGAAGCATTGAGATGCTCATCTGTTGGATAGTAAATGTTCCACAGTAGCTCAAAAACCCGGTTTTGTTTCACTCATATTGCCTCGAGTGGGCTTTATCATCTTGAGGGCTTGATGTTGATGATAGTTTGTGGGCTGAGCAAAATCATTTATCCGCTAATTGTCTCCAGATGTGTGTTCTCTTCATGGTGTAATACAATCACATTTGGTCCAACAACTCTTGTGTCTGTTAACTCTGTTCCCTGCTGTCAAATGACAAGCACACTTGATAGGTTACTGCTCCCGCTGCCCTACCTTGACCTAATTATTCAATTCATATGGTATTCCAGATGTTAGAAAATACAAACATTTACAGTCGGTCCTCCTTTGATTGAATCTTAATAGCGCAATTGAATGATAATATAAAACTAAGAAGAATTAATATACATTATAGCATTTGCTGATCTATTAGTGTTGCTTGTCATTTTCCATATAGATATAACTAGCAGTGGAAACAGACTGAATTCCTGAAACAAATCTTTAATTCAATCCAAAGGATTAGCGGTCAAAAAACAATGTGAGCTCATGGAGTTTGACATTGATGCAAGCTTTTACAAAGACTGTCATTAAAAATGTCATTACTGTAGCTCTGCCTCTTGTTTTCTACTCAATTCAAATTAGAGTTTAGAACAAGAACAAGCAACCAAGTATATTGAGCAGAATATGGCAGCTAATTTTCTATCTCTGTCTATGTCTGGCACATTTTTAGATTGCTTTAGAAGGATCATTTCTATCTTGGCATCTTATAAAATTGAAGCTTATATGTTAAGACTCCAAGTTAAATAGAAAAAGCAATGCTTTTATTTGAAAACGGACATTACTACTTCTTAGTTATCTCTGATCTCTTAATTTTCAGTCAGAAAAGGAGCCCTAATCCTGAGAGATTAAGCAGTTTTGAGGTCTGAAACTAACAATGTACAATAAGTGATGATCATCATTTATATTAGACAAACCTGTGTTAAGCAAATACTGAACTATATGTCTAAGATAAGGAAATGGTAAAAATAATAACATGGCAGCCAATGTCTAAATAAGAATTCTGAAAAGCTGTCAGAAATCCTGTAGATGTATTAGCTATTGAGTTTTATCTTGAATTATGATCTTAGGGCATCCCTCCCTTCAAGTCACAACCATTTTCCAGATTTGACCAGGTTTTCTACCAGGATTGGCAAGTATTTATCTTCATTCATCTTTCCATCAACTCTGACCAGTTTCTGTTTTCCTGTTGAATAAAACTATCCCCACACCATGATGCAGCCATTACCATGTTTTTTAATGGGAATGTTATTTTAATTAGACTAAGGTCTTGCTAGACCATCTTCTTCCTCGTGCTAGTTCTCGGTCCTCTGAGGCTTCTGGAAAATTCCAAAAGGTTATATTTAAGGGTTTCTTTAAATTGTGGCTTTATTGTTGCCATATTTCCATAAATGTAATTTTTTTTTTTTTTTTTTAGTTTATGCCTAATATTTCTTAAGATTATCCCACTTGATTTTAAGGACCTCTGCTGCCTGCTCCTTCTGAGTTACCATGAGCCGCCTAGCTGCAACTCTGATTAATAGGTGTGAAAGGGACCTGAACAAAGCTTGAAATATTGGTTTATCATTTAAACTGCTTTGAACCTATTTGTTGCTTCATCTAAGATTTATCAGGTGGGGTTTTTAAAATCCTTTATCAAAGGATGCTGAATATAGATCTTTCAATTTTATGGGGGGTTTCTTCAGGGTTAGAGAAGGTAGATTATATATAGTTTTCCATCTAAATCGCAACTATGACCAACTTTAGATAAAACTCTCAATTAATTACATTGAAGTTAGTTATTGTCATGTGATAAATATGTTATTCTCTCATCTTGACACATTTATGCATCATTAAATCTTTCTAGTTTCTTGATTTTAAGCACAGACTGCATCATATTATGACAGCATTGGGTAATATACCTATACGTAGAATAAGGGGGAAGAGTGTCCAAAAAATGTTAATAAGAAGTGAGAAATTCCAAAGAGACAATTGATCGAGATCACTTCTAAAGATTTCAGGAACGCATCGATCCTTAGTTGGAAGAAGCATCTAAAGAAAGGAGGGATAACTCTAAACATCTTTGGAGTAAAGCTGTTGCCATCATTCATAATAATGAATGTAGCAAGTCGTAATATTTCCAAATGCCAGGTTAATTTACTAAATAACCAAAATACTGGAAGACAGAATTGAAAGCATGCTAGACAAGCTTTTATCTTACATTCAATCCCAAGCTGTCTGCATATCCATATCCTCGGCTGTGCACCTTTCTCTCTGGCTGAGGCATGGTTCTCTAGAAGTTACGAGCAAAAAAGTCTGCAGCTGCAGCTCTACTGCCACTACACAAATGCCCACCCTGTTCGTCCTCCAAAGTGACAGGGAAGGTCAGCGCATGCTTCAGTGCGCTCAGCCGGGACCGTTTAGTCTGTCACACTTATTTCCATCATATTAAATCTTCTTCCTCCTTTTCCTAAGTGGTCATTGGGAAGGTATCCTTGGATAACATCTTGTTCATCAGACAATTAATAGTCAAGATTGCATTGTGGACATAATATTGCTTTCTGAATGTGACTTTGGTTTGTCATACAGATATCAAAAGCAAATTGAGTCTGCCAAGAAGGGTTTTTTCAAAGGAGG